CTCACTTGGTGGCAATTGTCAATTGAAATAAGAATTTCCCATTTTGTGGAAAGTCACAATGTAAAATAATAGTGACCTTCATAATGCAACTGTTTCACTCCTATGGAGACTCATCAAACTGACACAGGGCCAGAGGCAGGGGTGATGTATAGTAGAAGCCCCCTAACTACAGAAGTTCATAGCACATAAAAATACCATGTGACTATAACATTACCACACATTATCTTGCCTCTATTCCAAGAATTTCATAAACAATGTCACGAATTGTTACAAACAATTTTTGTCAAGTATTAAATGTATTTTGTTTACTTTTTTTGGACAGTTACAATTTGGTACAGTTTTATGGGTGAGTTAGGGGGTTCATTTTTGGTCAATTTTTTTTTTTTTTGGGGGGGACCGACCGACCAGCTGACCGACACCCGGGTGACTTATAAAAGCTCTGTGGCCAGAGCTTAAAAACCTGATCATTCTAGCTGATTGTTGAATGTCTTGAATTAAAAAATGATTTGAGTACATGTACATGTACATGTACCCAACTGGTTTCCATCTGGGCCCTGTATACATTACAAATTATTAATTAATGTTAAGCAAACTTAACTCATAAGGAAAAGTACATTGGTGAAACATACGACGAACAATAGAATGTTAGAAATATTACAGAAATAAAGCTATACACAGCACAAATTCATTTTAAAAGTTCTATTAGTAGAATTACACATGTACGTGTATAGCCGGTTAATTCTTGGAGAAATCTCAACTGTTGCTACAAACCTTTGCATCTGGTGTGGACCTTTAAACCGAGCAACTGTATACATTTTGACCCACAAATTATCACAGGCGGACTTGATTTAGATTGTAGCAGCTGGCTGAAACCTACAAATATTTTAAAGGGATATGTCAGATATTAAAATTGTGCACATGTACCGGTGCATGTACATTTTAATTTGTGTTGGCCCATTTTATACCATATGTCCTCATGATGAAAAAGTAGTATTGGCATGCAAATTTTTTATTCCCAATTCACATGGTTGATCCGTTTAACCTTTTTGATAGCTCTGCATGTATTTTTGTGTGTGTCTGTGGTTGATGATATTTTTGTTTTAATTACATACATGTCATTACGTCTTCTGGAATCATTTTTACCATGCATATGGTACATAATTTACATAAATTTCCTCTATCCTACACATGTACACACTGTACATGTTAATGTTTACGGATGTAGATAAAGTACCACACCCATTCGTGCACTTAACATGATCCATTGAACAGTGGGGTTGCCAAAATGCATGCTTGTCTCAAATTTAAGGACCTCCCCAACCTGTGCTACATGTATATCTCACTAATGGTTATGACACATTATCTATTCAGACTTGGACTGTATGCATACTGGTATTTATAGTCAGACGTGCAGATTTTTAAAGTTGTGCCATGCTTAAAGGGAATATGTACATGTACAACATTTGCTTTTGCTGCAATTTCCAGTAAAAAAATGGATTTGGAGGATTACATGTAGTATGTTATAGCAAATATTGTGAAACTGACTTGTTTCACGTTTTGGGCTTGTAGATGCTGGAAAAACCAAGAAAACCAATCATGTTCTTGTAGTCTGGTTCCCTGACCCCACTTAAGATGAAACAGAGCAATTTATAGACATTTTGGGGAATTGTAAGGTCAGAGAATCAGTCTAGCAGGCTTATACCCCTTCACAGGTGTGTAATCAATTGCAAAGAAAACGCGGAATAACTAATTATGAAAAATTAGGAGCAGTTTTTGAAAAAAAAGCCAGTTTTCTTCAACGCTGGTCGGCCGACCAGCGTTGGAAAAATACAATTTTTCTTGAAAATGTCAGCACACCAGGAGCCACGATTTTACAGGATGCTTGAGACTGTCATGAATTCCCTAACAATCCAGTAATGTATTTCGTGGGAATTTGATCATTTTGTTTTTTGATGTTTGCAAATGTTGGTATCTTCCCTTTAAATTTAAATCAAAATGTACTGCACATATATGCCTGTACATACCTTGTGTTTTTCTGAAATTTTTTCCCCATCGCTTTGCCCTTTGGACCCACAGAAATTGTACTTGTTGGCCTAATTTACGGCAGATCAGAGGGGATCTTGACTTGCCCCTAGTCACTTAGCTATAATTGCCTCCCCACTATATACTGCTATGTATCTGGCTTCCTCATCATGGTCAATATTGGCAAAGCCGTTACAATAACAGAAATAAATCCTTCATAATCTCCTGCAAGGTGTAGTGACTGTTTCTATGATTTGAATTAGTGTAAAAGGTCCAGTACGTTTAGCTTGCAGTACATGTATACACTGTACATAGGCACATATTGTACATGTATGTATTCATAATCATATGAGCATACATGTTTAACAACATGTTTTAAGATAAGTTCCGATACTGCATTCATGGTGCACATACATGTACATGTATGTATGTATGTTCTATGCATTTTTTCAAATTAGTCACTAAAATTTTGTAAACAGAACTTCTACCAAAGTTTAATAACAACTACATGTATGCAAAGCCTCAAATGTTACACATCTCTTCAAAATAAGATATGTATTTTTTTAATTTCAGGTTTTCATGCAGTTGCCTAAAGTACCTATGCTACAGCATTTATTTCTAAATCTAAAAGTCTGTTTTGAAGTTTATTTAATGAGTTACATGTATTACATGTGCATGTATGAATTCATGATGTGTAAATTTATAATAATAATAATATCGGCTTCTTATATAACGCTTTTAACTAAGATCAAAGTGCTTTAAATTATTATTGCCTATTAAATTCATATTTCTATGCTTCCTTCGCTGTGTGAGAATTTAATTGACAATATAACGTTTTAGGTTTTACATGTACATTGATTTGACTTTAATTTCAACAATTTATTTGATTTTTTTTTTTAAATCTCAGTAAAAATAATGTATAGTAAAAATAATGTATAGTAAACATGACCATGGTCTTGTTTAGGAACCTACCGTACATGTATTACATGTGTACATGTATACATACATAACATGCATGTACAAAAATGTAGGTCTTCTACATGTACTATACATGTACAAGCTCTGAGCCTTTATTTGGTTTAAAATACATGTATATGTATGTAATGTAAATAGTATGTACTGTATGATATGAAATACACCATTAACCAAACCATTAATACAGTTGATAAAATGGACTGTTTTTTTGTGTACAATCATATGGAGGCGTCTGCATGAAGTCAAGGGTAAAAGGCAGAAATTGATGGTTAGGCCAAACAAAAAAACATTCGGTCTCTGGTCAGACCAAAGTTCCGGAATTGACGTGGGGACGCGGCTTTTTTTTTTTTCTTTTTTTTTTTTTCTTCAAGCTTGGTTTGTACAGACAAAGTGGGGTACTATTTTGCTATTTGGTGTCCTCATGTACATTGGTTTCCTCCATATTTTGCCTTGTTGCTCTCGATCATTTGCCTTGGTGCAATTTCCCATTCCTTGGTGCTCTTTGGTAAAAAAAAATTGAGGAGGTGCGGCAATAGAGGGCACTGTTGAAGCTACCGCGGAACAATTTGGAGAAAAAAAAGATTGACGCACATGATTAAAATCGACGCGCGCGCTGACCAGAGACCGACTTATTTTTTTTTTTTTTGGCCTTATGGGTGTTTTTTTCTCATTTTTCCCATAAAAAAAAATAGGGTAGGGGCTGTCAGAATAGGGTAGGTTTGGGAAACCGGAAGCAGAACTATCTCTTTTTTTTGGCCTGATCTGACTGCTGGTGACTAGCCTTTGTTAAAAGTATAGCAGGGGAAGTGGAAGTAAATTTTGACTGTCCATGACTGCTTAAATACCCGGTAGCAGGAGGGATTTCAATTTAACCAAATCGAGATTGTTGACGGATGTGTCATCCCCCATCTACACCAATGTGTGTATGTGCCTATTATCTTACACCACATCGTAACATTTTGCTTGTAGTCAAAAGGGCAGATTTGAGACCAAAACCTCTTGCTTATCGTGGCAGATGGCCTTTTGATATGAGGACAAGAACACACTGTACTTGTGCACTCTGTAAGCTGAGTATTGGATCTTAGCCCCTCAGGGTATGAGATGCTGGACGATGGAGCATCAGTTTTGTAATCCAACCTACGCGAGATCATTCAAAGATACTTCACACTGAACTGGCAACCTCACAGGTTTTGTGATGTGTGTTCCTGCCAACCCTTGACTGTTTTGCGCAGACACATTCTTTTAGAACAAGTATGGGTACAGTTGCACATGTACTTGCACACGTTCTGTAACTGTAATAAAAAACCCGGATTGTTTACGGATTTGAGAATTGTGAATTTTATTGACACAGTATTTTTCCATCTGGGCAATTCCCTAAATTCTGACATACATGTCAGACACCTTAATGAGCTGCTTTTGGAAAAGTGAATGTGATACATCACTAATGTGTGACATTTAACCCTAACTCCTTAGGCCGTTTTGCTAGGATGTAGCCTCAATCCTGCAAAATCCTCCGATTGGCCTCATGGAAAAATAGCATATAGCCTCAATCCTGAAAATTCCTCCATTATTTCTTGAATATGGTCCGTGGAGGGGTGACCGCTGTCGGAATCCTGCAAAATCCTGCGGCAGTGACTGTCAATATGTTGAGGCTTGGCCAGTGACATCCTGGAGCAGTACGGAGGATTTCAAGCATAATCCAGGCCTATATATTTATGCATGGCTGAGCAAAAACAACACAAGGTCCGGGCCAAAACCTTGACAAAGTACATTCTACGAAATCAGTAACGCACTTTTGCCATGTAACCTCAATCCTCCAAATTCCTCCACTTTGGCAAGAGGATTTTGAAAGATTCAGGGCGGTAAGGGTTAAATTTACATCACTCCGAGAAAAATTCCATCTTATAAATTGACTGCAAGTAACTTGCAGTTGTTTGTGAAATGTTTGAAAAAATAAACTCATAAAATTTAGAACTTTGTCTTTTTTGTTTTGACAATTGCAGGGTCGTGAACCAGGTGCCCAAATAGACCCATGGGAGGATGCGTCTTACATCGTCTATAAGGTCACCGACAAAAATGGCTTCTTACAGTAAGTACACGTAGTTCACGCCACTTGGTTCTTTGTTCTTGGTTGGTTCTTCTCCTAAATACTCCACGTGGGAGTTTATACAGGAGGCCAGAAACACCGGGGCAAACCCCTTCTCTTAGCGATAAGTGTTTACTGGGTTCTTTTACGTACATTTATACAACACACGGGACCTACGGCTTAATGTCCCATCCGAAGGACGAAGCAATAATGGTTAAGTGCCTTGCTTAAGAGCACAAGTGTCTGCCGGCGGGCTCGAACCCACGTCACTGTTGCCTCTGAAACACCAGAACGCGAGAGCGGTGTTCTTAACCGCTAGGCCATCACACTTGCAAGCAAAAGTATTTGCACTTACGCATCTTCTCATGCAATTAATAGGAAACAACAACACTTACTGGGAAAAGTGATTAATTATCCTGTTTCGATTTGAGCAATGTACCAGTATGCTGTATACATGTATATTTCAACACCATTTCTTACAATCTGTCTATGCTTCCCTAATATAGTAAGGCAGTTTTCCTCTTTCAGTTTCCGTAGGTTTGCGGTTTGAAATGTCTGCCTGTATTCACACGATTGTAAATTTTGTTTCGGTTTTCATGTCTCTATTGGCAACAGAATGTTTCTTAAAACTGGGGCACAGATACTTTCAAGTACCAGTATACTCTAGAAAAAAAAAACAAGTCAAGGGCTGATTTCATGAAACTCATCTTATCTTGCAACTCATCTTAGGACCTAAGACGAGTCCCTGCTCTAAGATCGGTCTTAGCTAAGACGGGTCCTACATGTAAGACCGTTTTCACTTAACCCATCTTAAGAGCTCTAGACGCATAAAAAAACTACCAATTTGATGGCTGTTTCATGTTTGTTTTTACCGTTTCACGAAACAGGCGTTGAAAAGAAATGCACAAAACCAACGCGCGCATGCATAAAACACGAACTTTCGCCAGAAAATTTACGTTACTCAATAAATTTCATTTATAAGCAAGGTAGTTCTACACAAGATATGATAGAGTCATTCTTGCTCCCCGTTTCATCACTCTGTTTTAAAAAGTTCACAAGGTGTTGGCCTATAATTAATTTTTTAAAATAAAGCTATTTATTATTTTACCCACGTATCAGAAATCTTTTCAAATTTGTTTCTACGGTTTTCTTCCTCGAAACTATAACTCTAGGCCGACACTAATCTTCAATGGTATCCATAGATATACAGATTAACTCGTGCATTAATGAGATAAGACAACCCTCAGACCAATCTTAAGTCAAGACGAGTTCAGCCGCATTGCTGAGGAAGTTAGGACGTGTTGAACACGTCTTAAGTTTGGTGAAATCGATCCTAGGACGAGTTGCGACTTAAGATGAGTTACCCTTCCTAAGATGTGTCTTAGCATTTCGTGAAATTGGCCCCAGGAAATCTGTCGGTCTCTATAGGTCGCTTTTGGATGGAAGGGGGAGGGGCGCTTCAAATTAATTTGACTGAAATACCTTTTGTTTTCCACCTAAACAGGTATCCCATCCTTTTTAGTCCTATTTTAAACCTTTTTCAGCATCATAAATATGTCAGAATATTAAAGAAATTGCACAAATGAAGGATAATTGCACAGTAGGTTACAGTAAAATGTTTCACCATTTGAAGTACTTGTGTACAGGATGAAAAATTACCACTTTTACATAATTGACATTTTCTCAGCAACCCAAAGTGCTATTGTCATGATTTTTTTCAGTATTTGAAAGAAAAAGCTCTCAGCTTTAATTTGATACCTAAAACATAAAAATCCACCGATCCCTTTTATTTTTACAGGCAAATGTTTTAGGGTTGCATTTTTTTTGGCCACCCTGTATTCGAGGCCCCCTTCAATGGGTAAAGTATTGTGCAAGCTAGTGTGCAAGCTATTACCCCATGATGGATTATCTGAACTATTGCTAACACAATGCTCTTGCCATTGAAGGGGGCCTTCGTGATAGAATTGATAACGTGCCGGGATTGGTCTATTACAAAGTTCTGATATTCTTAGTAATGAAGCTGTTCATTATTTTCTTTCAGGGAGCATGAGTTACCTCCGAGCCCAGATGAAGAAGAAAGGAAGGTAAGAGGGGCAAAAAAACAACAAAAAAAACCCCCCAGAATAGCAACTATTGTCAAAAGACTTCAATATAAATGAAGCCCAGATTCTGTTGATAGTTAGAGATCAGTTTCTGTTCTCCGAGGAAAACCCCAGAAATTGTGGGTTGTTTTTTTAAGGAAAGTTAACTTCTTCAAGAAGGGCAATCCTATCATCCAAGCATAACTGCTGGGATGTGTGATCACCAGAGGTAGGACAACAGTGTAACTTCAAGTGGATCAGCTTGATCGGCCATCATCCTGCCTGCAGATTGTAAAGGATGCATGGTTGTTGCTACATACTCTATAACTTATTAATAATAATAATAATTATAATAATTTGGTGCTTATATAGCATTTTATACCTAAGGATTGAAAGCGCTTTACAATTATTATCCCTGTTCATCAGGAATGAGACTATTTGTTCTGTAGAGGATCGAGATAGCTCAATTTGGTCTGTACCTTTACAGGGGCCCATTTATACTCCTGGGTGGAGAGAGGCAATTGTAGTTAAGTGCCTTGCCCAAGAACACAAGCACCCTGTTCCCCGTTAGGGTTTGAACCCACGTACCAAGGCACGTGAGTCGAACACCGTAACCCTTGGACCACACCATTCTCGTTGTATCAAATTGTAACAGGGACCTCTATCCACAAAAAGTACATCTGGTTTCAAGTGTCAAGTGTCGGAGACCAAATTGGAGTCATGGGTCAAGTGTGAATCTAAGTAACAGGGCCCAATTTCATAGAGCTGCTTAAGCAGAAAATTTGCTTAAGCACGAAAAAACATTGCTTAGTAAAATTAGGTTACCGGCCAAAACTCCATGTGATGTACATTGCTTGTGACTGGTATTTAGCTGTTGTTTACTTAGCGTAACAATCGCATGGATTTTTGGCCGGTAACCTGATTTTATTAAGCAAGACGTTTTTGTGCTTAAGCAAATTTGGTGCTTAAGCAGCTCTATGAAATTGGCCCCTGGTGTATGAGTGAGGAAGGGAGTTCAGATTCACATATCAGTGTACTCAATCCTAAACAATTCATCAAAAAAAATATACAACCTGTTGTGCTTTCTGAAATTCATACCTCCCCGACCTGCCATTAAAAGCCTCTCTTTACTGTATTGGGGCACTGCATGGAGGGTTTTTCTTATACCGGTAGTTTGCACACTATCCAGTGTAGGGTCCGATCAGGGCCGGATTGCCAGATTATCCAACAGGCACAGTAGGCACTGTGCCAAGGGCCCACGCGAATTTTGGGGCCCACGAAAATGCCAGTGTTCCATAAAACACACATGCAAACGTGTTTTCACCGTCGATCGTGGACGTCCTATTGTCCCTCTTTTGTTTGTACTCTTAACTTTTTAGGAAGACTCCCGTAGGTTATGTACACGACCCCAATCGCGGACGTATGCTGGGAATCGTGGACGATATTGTTCTCTTTTGTTCTCTGGTATTTTTCGTCCACGGTTTGAAAAGATGAACACATACACACATGTCCACCCAGACACAGGAAAAGATTAAGCGTCTCTCTCTGACTGTGTACTGTGTGTGGTGCTATATGATCTTTGCCTACTGCAATGACGACGTTGACGTTGACTTTCCGGTACCCGGATGTGGGTCAGTGAGAGAGCCCTACATGTATTTGTTTGGTGCATGTATGTTTTCCTTGAAATGGCTTTAACCCTAACTCCCTAGGCATTTTTGCTAGGATGCAACCTCAATCCTGCAAAATCCTCAAACTGCCTCCATGTAAAAGTTGCATACAGCCTCAATCCTGCAAAATCCTCCGTTATTTCTTGAATGTGGTCCTTGGAGGGGTGACCACTGCCTCATCAATCCTGCAAAATCCTCCAGCAATCACTGTCAATATATTGAGGCAGAGCCAGTGACATCCTGGAGCAGTGCGCAGGATTTCAATTATAATGTAGGCCTAAATTTTATGCAAGGCTGAGCATAAACAACACAAAGTCCAGCCTAAGACCTTGACACAGTGCATCCTCCAAAATCAGCCCCACACTTTTGCCATACAGCCTCAATCCTGCAAAATCCTCCATTTCGCAAAGAGCATTTTGGAGGATTTGGGAAGGTTAGGGTCAAATAAAAGCTACAAGTTTACTGTCCTTCTGCAGTCCATGAATGCATGTCAGTTTTCTGAATTGACATGTGCAGCCCCAAGTCAGCAACTTAATCTGTGCATTTGCGATAGCTACAGGCTGTACACGTCATTTTCCTTGTCAAAAAAATTCAGACTATTATGCACACCGGTATGTGCATGGAAATGGACAGTGACAGGCAACAAAGTGCACAACATGAACCTTTCATGATCTGACCACAAGAGGGCTCCCGTCACTTGACTGTTGGAGTCCCACTCCTGGTTTTTTGGAGGTGTAAGGTTAATAAGGTGCAGAACCGTGAGTCATCCGTACATCCTTTTCACATGGTGGAGTATACAGTACGTGGAAGCTGTCACTGTACAGTTTGTCCAAGCCATTGCAGATCAGTGTAACTATTTATAGCGCAGGTCATCCTAAAAATACTCAGCTCTATAGGCGTGGGTGGCTTTATACACAGCTGTATAATAAACCCTCAACTTTTATTAACATGATTAACAGACTGAAGTTTTTACAAGATGGAGTTTGCGTCTGGGTGATGTAAATTCAATATTTGGTTTTGCCTTAATTCACCGACGTATTTTTTACAAACACTGTACACTCAGTGTTTCCCTTGAGTGATTGTGAGATAAAAAAAATCACTCGGGTGGGACTCGAACCCACGACCTCCTGCTTACTAGTGCAGATGTCTCACCACTCGACCACCGAGGCTGAAGTTTGACGTGCTCCTTGGTGGATGCGCCTCGCATCATTTGTTTTTTATTTTAACTCTTTCTCGCCCAGATTTTCTAAAATCCACTGAGAACTTTTGAAAGATTTTGCATATTTGTACATGTTGCATTCAGATGCACATGTGTGTGCACCTATTGCTTTTTGCCCTTCTGAAAATTCAAGTACATAGAATCTGCCATGTAGGTTTTCTGTACGTTTGAGGATTACAGAAGATTCAGGAAACTTCTTAGCAAAAATATGAGATAGGTCTAAGAGTTGCAGACATACAGTGTCTGAGTTTCGTAGAATCGTACTGCCCAGGTATCAAAAATAGTCTGCTGCCAAATTGTTATATAACATTCTGTTCTTTCTGTAGTTTGCACTTTATTTTTTTTTTTGAATGAAATGATTGATATTTTATTTGTTTGATGGCTCTTTTGCATTCCATTGAAACTCACGCACGATCACTGTTTGCTTGAAAAAAGTAACGGTAGGAACAAAGGAGAACGGGCTCAATCAACAAAACCTTTGGCAGGGGTGTGAAAACTCAGCTTTAAAGCTGATTTCAGCTTTTTTTTGTTTTGGATTTCAGCTTTTTTCCTCACTTACTGTGTACAAAAGTATAGGAGATTTCCAAAGTTCAGCTTTTTCAGCTGTTTTTAGCTATTTTTATCAGTGGTCACTCACACCCCTGTTTGGAATGACTCATTATTTATGGACGACAAGGTGTACCATTTTATAAGCAACAACACCTAAAACATACGCCCTTGCAACCTACTGGCATGGTCCACATCGACACCAAATTCTTCAGACAGCTTAACTCGCCACTTTTTCTTGGAATAGGTTTTTTTTGGCCTTTTCAACGGTGCTCGGTCATCCGTGACTGAAGAGATGCAAATTATGTATCAATGGGGGAAGCTAATGAGCTACCCTTTAAGATGGAGCCACTTTAACAGTGTTCGAGTTCATTTCTTTGACATAATAATCCATTATTTTGTTACTACTTTTTTTGTATACACCCTGTACATGTAGTTACTAAGAAAACAACTTGATCGGAAATATCTCTGATACTGCGGGCCAACAAATTCGTGTTCTTGCATGAGTCACGTGATTGTGCCATGTAATTTCTGGAAAGAGTAGTGTTTCGAGTAACAAAAATCAGGTTTTTGACCCCGGTGACCCCATGATGACCTTTGACCCAAGTTTAGTCATGTGACATGTTGGGCTTGGGCTACTGATACTTTTGACAGAGTTTGGTTGAAATCGGTCAAAATATGTAGCAATAGACAATGTTGACGTTTGTAACTAACTAACTAACTAATGGAGTAACGGAGAGACATGATGATTTGTTGAGCTGCTATCCCGCAGCTAAAAAATAGTGGGCTCATTTTAGTTCCTTTGGTACACTGAACTGAAGCAGCTAAGGAATAAAGACACACTTTCTAGAGAAGCCAAATTCATGAAAGTTGAGCACAGAAAAGATAATGTGCTCGTTTGTCTTTTACTGCGGTAGTAAAAATAAAATAATGCCTATGTCATACTAAATAGCCCTCATGTTTTATACGTGTAAGCTGTATAAAGATTGAAAGGAATAACTGTATTGATATGCAGAAATCCAGCATTAATCTGGCAAAGCCTGTTGCAGTTCCACTTTAAAGCCACAAATGAGTCCATGTCGCAGAGGAAATCAGCAAGCTAAAGGAAGCTATTAGTTCTTCCCAAGGGTAGGGGGATCAGGGCAGGGGATTTGGAGACTTTGTACAACTTGTAGCTGCATGACGCGGTACTACACAATGAACACACGCTATCTGTCAGTTGTCTACGTGGAAGTTTTTGGCTACACCCCGCCAACCATTTGTTCGTGAGAGAAGCCAATGCTTGTTATACTCTATGCGTCATGCAGCCTGAGTGAAGCACCCCGTTCTTGTGGCTCGTCGGCTGAAACAGTGGAGACTGAAATGTGCCGACGATGTCCTATATTAAGCAGTGAGAAACCCCTTGGCTGGACGACCAGTGTTTGCGCAGTGCAAGTGCTTCGGCCCTGCACAGGCAGAACGAAAATTAGTCTCAGGCCTCGGCACCGGTAACCGCACTTCCTCCATTGACTCCGCATTCACAAGTGAGTCACTGGTTTCTGACAACTTGCTGGGGCTTTGTTCCTGCCCCC